GTGCGCGTGCGTGCCTGAGCTCCGGAGCAGCTGTCTGAGAGGGAGTCGGAGGGAGAGCCAGAGAAAGGGAGCGAGGGCGAGGGCGAGGGGCCGTGTGCGGCTGCACTGCGCGACCACACCAAATCACAGCCACAGAGGGAGGTGGGGTGAGAAAAGGTTGGGAGGGGGGCGGGTCACGCTTAAAATTCCAGAGCGGTGCGACACGGCAGAGCGAACAGCTCCCCCCAGCTTGGGAGAGGCCTGCCCCCAGTCCCCTCCCCCGGTAGACCCAGGGGCCTTGGGATGGGTATGGAGGTGAGTGGCCTCCAAGCTTCTCTGGGCCCGCGCTCCCCGCCCCCACCCCCCCACTGCCCAATGCATGAATGAATGAGTTCCTCTCTGCACTGCACTCTGCTACCGTTCCCTAATGGCTTCCAGGTTAGTGCTAACTCGTGCTGACGCTGTGTGTGTGTGTGTGAGTCTATCTTTGTTTCCTCGTGGGATGTTTTTTTGGAAGGGGTGGGCATGTCCCTGGGTTGGATTGGGGCCCCGGGGGCTGGAGCTGGAGCGTGGACCTGTCTGTCTGGTTGTGTGCTTTTTCCAGCTGGCGCGGGCTGCTCGGAGCTGCCAAGAACACAAACCTTTCAAGGCAGAGTAAATCCGGAGTCCATGTTGTTTGCTTCTGTTCTCTGTTCGGGGGATCCGAAAGCAGCCAGCGTGACATCATGCTGCAGAGATGCCACATTCTTTCGCCTCCCCGGCCTTTTCTCCTCTGTCTTCCCCCACCTCCTCCAGGAGCACTGCTGGAGCCCAGCTTTGGAGCACTGAGGGGTGACCCAGGGGTGGGCTGGAGAGATGGGCTGGGATGGTGCTGATGGTGTCCCCTTGAATGGGAAGACTTCATCGGGGCCCTACGACTTGGAGAGCCCAGGGCTGAATTAGCAGTGCGTCACAGCGAGGGGGCCGAGAACTTCTGGGGGAGGTGTGGACGAGCCATGTGCTCCTGTTCCCCACCCGCCACTTTCGATCCACCGTGCCCCTGTGGGCAGGATGTGACCACAGCAGTGGTCCAAAAGACAGGGACAGATCCTGCTTCTCCCATAAGGAGAGGGCAGTGGGGTGATGGATCTGACCAGCAGCAGGAGAGGCAGAGAGAGGAAGTCGATAGCTCCTGTCTCAGGGAAATAAAGGGGTTTGTTTATTCTTTGGCTTAGCCTGCACTTGGCTCAGAGAGCTGCCATGTGTTTTGAGAAAATAGACACCCAGTGGCTGGGCCTTACTCCCCCACACCTCCTTGCATTGTTAGTTATTTGCTTGATTTGGGGAAGTGCATGGGTCGGGGAGGACTTGGAGCTCCCTGTCTCTCTGGGGCCTCAGCCAAGAGCCTAGCCAGGGCTGGGGGAAGCGATCTTTGCTTCTTCGCTGACATTTCCTAGCAAACTCTGCTCTGTGGACACCCTTCTCACTCCTCTGCCTCCTGCCTCACACGGCCGTGCCTCTGTCCACAGCGAATCTCGAATGTGGGGCGTGTTTCTGGCCTTTGCCTTCGATGAGGCTCCGCAGGTTAGAGCAGTTTAGAACTGAGATGGAAAAGGGGGGGCCTTAGAAGAAGGGTTAAGGGTGAGGAATGTTTTTCAGAGTCTCCCATGGCAGAAGAATGACACTGTCCAAGTCCAGGCCTGGAAAGCAAGTACCCCACGGAGGGGGAGAATGCGTGGTGAGTGGCAGGTCAGCTGGTCTGCTGAACTTTTTACGCATTTCAGCAACTTCCAAACCATCACCGAGGAGCCAAAGATGATGAGCTTTTATCATCCTACCCAGAAAAAAAATTTCTCTTGCTTTCTTCCTTTCCCGGCTCTACAGATTTGCTCTGCTGACAAGCGCAAGCCTGTAGCTCCCTCCTCCAGTGGCTGCTGCATGGTACACAGGTTCCTTGCATGGCTACTCAAGTTCTTTGTCTGGCTTGGCAGAGACCTGCAGAAAAGACCTCTGCAGAGTCAAACCTTGTGAGACCAGGGGTTGGCAAACTTTTTATAAAGCACCCAGTAGTAACTGCTGTAGGCTTCGTGGGCCATGCTGTGTCTTTGTCACTGGAAATCAGCTCCGCTTTGTACAGCACAAGTGACCATGAACAATTCATGAACCAACGAGCCTCGCGGTACTCCCTGTAAAACTTATGTATGGGCTCTGAAAGAGGATGTCATGTCACTTGCACATGTCACAAAACAGTCTTTTGATTCTTTCAACCATTTAAAAATGTGAAAACTATTTTTGTGTCCAGCTTAGAGAATCTCTAAGGTCCGAGGTAGGTTTGCATGTGGCCCAGAGTGATCCTTATTGGGGTTCCAAGCTGTAGTATAGCTCACTGAGCTGGGCTGAGAACTGGGTGGATTTGTCATCATCCCACCGGAACTCGGGCTTGTCTGGTTTGGGGGAAGCGTGGGTGTGCTCCTTCAAGGATGCGCAGGCATTCATTACACGTGCAGACGCTCTCCTTAGGATGCAGGATAAGGGTGAAGCGTGTACCCAGAGACTCAGAAGAGAACGGTGACTAATTCCAGATCCTCCTGATTCAGAGGATGACTCCAAAAATATGTTTGCACCCTGATTTCCAAAGTACGTGGGGTGATCATCCTGCCAGTATCATTACAGCCATGCCTGTGCTCCTCAGTTATTTTTTTTTATTTTGGGGTGGGGGGTTGAGATCAACTGGAATCCATGCAGAGTGAGCCCTGTCAGAGGCTATGTGAGCAATGACTCAAGGGACCCCCAGGTCTGGGGAAGGCGTGACAGCTGTGTGATGATGCCAAATGGAAGGGGAATTGGATTTGTCCTACAGCTCGCAAGGCAGCAGAATAGGGCCTTTGGTAGGAAGCCTCTGGAAACAGTTGGAGCCTACAGTGCAAATCCACCAGAGTTGTCCAAAGGTGAAGTGAGTTACGTAACAGCTGATGACGTCTCATCCCTTGAGGTGTGAGTGCTCAATCGAAACAAAGATTGGCTGGTGATGTTGGAGAAATGATTCTCACTTCTGAGAATAGATCTGAGGAATTAAAATCATCCCACCCGAAGAAAGGGATAGAGAGCTCATGAACTGACCTCAAGTCTAGGACAGCTGGACCAGAAGAAAGTGGTGTTTAAGTGTGATGTGGCAATTAAAAAAAATCACAGTGATCACAGGTGAGAGTGAGAAGCATCACCAAAGAAAGCCCTGAATTTTGTGCCTCTGCGTCTAGTTTAAAATAGATAAAGTCTGTGTTAGGTGTCTGGGCATCTGCCTGCAGTCTGGGATCAACCAACCTCACGGTCCTGTTCATTCTAAGACTTCTGCGATTTGACCTCTCATTTTTTGGCCTGCCTTTATTTTTATTTTTATATTTTATCTTTAACAGAAGAATAAGCCGGAACTGGGTTTGCATCATGGGGGTCAGTAAAGGATTAGCATTCAGGTGGGCTGTGCCAGTGAGGCCAGGGGAGGAGTGATACAAGGGTACTTCAGGAAGTTCATAGGAAAATGGAATTAAAAGATAGGTTTATTTTGGTACAAAAAAGTATTTGAAATCCGTGCATAGTTTTTTCATGATGCACATTTCCATGAGCTTTTTTGAGGACTCCTCTTAGGAGGGGAAAGGCTCACTGGGTGCTGTTGCTCACTTCTTACGCACCTGCCCACTCCTTGGTCTGGCTCGAGCTAGGCACCGTCACCCGATAGTACCATATCAGGTAGTACCATAGTACTGGTGCCTGAGAGTTTTTGGCCCTGACCAGAGAGAATGCTGGTGAAGCTGAATTAACTTCAGGCCCAGACTGCCTTGGATCTTGTTTCTGGATGCTTTGCCTAACTCAGATCTGAGCCCTTCTGTCTCAAATGCTCCTGCTCTCAGCGTTTCATAGCGAATGTTTTTTAGTTTTTTGAATTTTTTTTTTTTTTGAAAGGCAGAGTGACAGAGAGAAGGAGAGTGAGAAAATCTTCCATTTGCTCGTTAATTCCCCACATGCCCACAACAGCCAGGGCTGGGCCAGGCTGAAACCAGGAGCCAGGAACTCAGTCCAGGTCTCCCTCTTGGGTGTCAGAGATGGTAGTACCTTCTTCTGATGTCCTTGTGGGGGTTGGGTGGCGTCCACACTCATTCTCGCGGAACAGAGGAGTGAGCTGCCCCTGGTTCATACCCAGGGAAGGAGGCTGAGTCACAAAGGCAGCCTAGCTCCTGGGATGCTGCTCCCTGGATGGTCGGGGGCAGGTGTCTTCCTCGCATCCAGGTAGCTCCTATCACTTGCTGTCTATCACGTGCCTGTCTCTTCCATCAGACTATGAGTTTCTTAGAGACAATATCCCCTAATGCCTAGACATTACCTGGTATGGAGGCAGCTCCTCGTCAGCTGTTGGGTGGATGGATGAAGGACTGGATCCTATACAGGTGCCTTTTCGTGTCAGTAAAAACATGTAGTTTCCTGAGGCTGGGGGAGGGGCTTTGGGAAGCAAGCCCCCATGGAGCTGGAAGTTCTATTCGGTTGAACTCCTCCTTGCCCTTGTTCTGGAGGTTTGTGGCCTCCCGATCGATTGGAAATCTCCTTCCAGAAAGGGGCTTCCTGGGACGGCTTCGCACCTTTCTGCTTTCTCAGGGCCCCATCCCCCTGAGCACTGAGACTTCTGAAATACTTGGGGTGCGGTTGTACTTAGATTTGGCTAAGTCCAGTTTCAAAGTATTAAGCCCCTGCTGTGAGCCAAATATCATGTTGAATATTGTGTGGTACACAGAATAGTGGCTGCCTTGTTGGGCCCTCAGGGAGAAACTGTATTGCAAAGTTGGAGGTGCTCAGGAAATCTGTTAGTGATGTTGAATCAGCAAGCTAATCTTTAAAGGCTGTTAAAGCCAGAAAGCATTGGACAGGTGATGATCACGGAGAGTGAAGGAGAAGGAAGGACTGTGGCCTTTAAATGTCTCTGTACAGCTATGTGCATGCGGCCACCCAGTGAGTGCTGTGTTAGTGGGGCTCTGGAGCAGAGGCCTGGGGGCTGCTGTTGGGGTGGCCTCAGAGGGAATCCCCAGGTGCAGGGGGACGATGAATCACATGGCTGTCACAAGGCCCCTTCCTAACTGCAGCCAGCTCAGTCAACACCCTGCCCTTCGAGCCCAGCAAGACTGTCCCCCAGGTGTTAGGTGTTCCCTGTGTTGTGAACAGTCTCAGGAAAAGGCAATTGTATAACATGAGTAAGTTCCTCTGCTTGATTGCAATGTCTTCTGTCTCATCTTTAGTCTGTTGTCCCAGCCCCGTGAGGTAGGGACCTGCTGCAGATGTGACTAGTGGCCGCCTATATTCGCATGGTCACATGGAACGGGCAGAGCTATTAGGAACAGGATTCACTTTCTTCAGTGGGAATTCACATCCTACGTCTAACCCATTTTCACTCCGTGAGCAATTATTGGAAGCCCTTTACTTCTGGGATTCACTGTCTAATTAGGTTCATTCCTTTTTAAGATTCTTGCTCCAGTAAGGTGGGTTGTGATCATTCAGCAGACAGGGAACACAGGTGCACAGAAAGAGAAAGTGATTTTTCTCAAGGGCACCAAACGGCTTAGGGTTTTAAATTCAGGTGCTCTGTCTAGACAAAGTGACCAGGACATCCAAGAGTCTGAAAGTGGTGTCAGTGTTATGTTCAGAATAAGGATTAATGGGCTGGTGTTACAAAGAAAGGAGATATGGAGCCAGCTTAAGAAAGATAAGTGTATTAGATTGAGATAACAGACTTAAAAAAGAGCTCATTGCTTTATTTGGGCAGTACATATCTCCAGTTCCAGTGTGTGCCAGTCATTTTGCCAGAGATACTGGGAAACCACAAAACACAGCAAGCAGCCCCCAGAGTCCTCCGTCTAGTGATGAACAAGTACACAATAGCAAACAACAAGACGGTTTCCGTTCCTGTGAGTGCAGTGAGGCGAAACACAAGGCCACGTGGTGGTGGAGGCCTGGGGGTAGGAAGCTGTGCTGTAGGTAGTGATGCTTCCACAAAGTCTGGAGCAGGTGACGTATGAGCTTTGATCAGCAGGCTGACAAGGGGGAAGCAGTCGAAACTTCAGTGTAAATGGTGAAGGCACAGTGGTCAGTAAGTCCAAGTATCCTAGGCGGGGGATGACCTTGATGTGTTCCAGGAAGAGAAGAGGCTGGGGGAAGTGACGGGGGAGGAAGTGGTGGTAGAAGTCGGGAAGATACTCGAATCCAGAAGGAGCCGCGTAGCTGATCGCTGAGTCTTTCTCTTAGGGTATGAACCTTGATCTCCTGGAGGTGATGACCGGAAGCAGAATGGCTTTGGTGCCGCCTTGGCACCCTTCTGTGAAACAGTTTGTGTCTGACTTCTGCCCATGGCTCTTGTGGCATCATCGGCATCTTCAAAGGCTGCCATAATTTGTTCCTCTTAGAAAAGTCCATCGAGAGAGAGAACAGGAGCTCTGGCTTTTCCCTCAGCTCTGGCAGGACCCAAACAAACTTATTTTGTTTTTGTAGGAGAGGGGGAAAGTGGGTCAGGCTGTTTTGGCATTTCAGGCATGGAGTCCCAGTTCTATTGCAGGCCCTCGTCTCCATGGAAATGAAAAATAGTGTTTGTCATGCCAGTTCCTGGATTGAATTCCAAACTCTGGGCTGAACAGAAGCTGCGGGAAAGCCAGGCAGCAGGGGAGTGGGATGGACCGAGGCTCCAGCCACTGTGATGAGCGATCTCTTCTCTTTGGCCTGAGTAGAAAAGGCAGACTTTTGCCCAGGCCCAACCCTCTATCTCCCCATCACCTCTCTGGACTGAGACCGTCAATGGAAGGGTAACTGGAGTTCTGCTTTTCTCTGCTTGGCCAAGGGCTCTCCGTGGACCTTACCTTGTTAGTTAGATAGTAAATCCATCAACAGCCGAAGTAAATGCTGGGCCTTTCCCTCGCAGCAAGTAGTTCCTCCCAGGTTTGAGTAGGTGTCTGGGTATTCCGTTATTCCACTGCTTGCAAATGCTTTGAATGAGCTCTTCCTTCTTTCAATTGTTGTGTAAGAGTTGAAAGCTTAATAAATAAGATAGGGGAGGAGCAATGAGTAAGTGAAGTTTGGCGCCCATTGAAGGTGCTTTGAATCCTCCACACCGTATCTACATAGATGGGGACCAGTTGATGGGGTGCAGAAAGATGTAAGGGCTTGGGCTGCGAGGATTGTTTGGCTGACTGGTGACTGGTTAGTCTGCCCAGCTTCCATTTGTGTGATGTCTCTGCCAGTGGTCTGGACCTAGCTATAGGCCTTTTCTACCTTTTGGTTCCCAAATTGAGACAGAACCTTGAATACATTATGCAAAGGCTCCGGGGAATTTTATCAAGTTGCCCAGAGAAACGGGAACAAAATGTTCATTTCTGCAGTTGGAGGAGGTCTGTGCTGTGTCGGGATCTGCAGTGGCATTTGTCCGCGCTCTGGTAGGGGAGAAAGGCATTGTCGGGTGGCCCCTTCCCTTCCTGCCCCTTGCTGAAATGTAGCATGCTGCTAAATTCTGGCCAGCGAGCGGCCCCGTGGACCACACTGAGACTGATCTGCGGGTCTAGGTTTGAGAAGAGACTCTCGAAGCCTTACCAAACAGAAAGCACATCCCTTGCAGCCGTGTGGCCCCTTTCTTCAGCAAGGTAATCACAGGAGCTGGTTTTCTCCCTCAGAGGCAGGTGGACCCCATGGGGGAGTCAGCAGGCTTGGATTCCACACCCGGAGTGGGTTCCTTCCATGGCCTTGGGGGCTTCCGTTAGAGGGGACAACAATGCATTTCTTATCTTTTCCAACCTGTGCGCCATCTAGTCCCTTAAACAGTGTGTGTTGGGGCAAAAGTCATTGAGACTTGTACGATGAGCGCCTTTGGTGAACAATCATGCCCTCTCTGGAACTTAATAGTGAGCAGGTTGGTCTGGAAAGGCCCTTTGCACTCTCTCTCTGAACCAGTCTTCCCCCTGAGACTGCGGTTTTAGTTTGATGAATAAAACGGGCTGAGAGCAGGAGCTCCAGGAGGTGAGGACAGTGAAGACCTGAGATGTTTTTGAGTGACTTGCTGTTTTGCTCTCTAAGGCAAAGGGTTTAAGGGAAATTGGGGGCTCTGCTGGGATTTGTCATTTGGTCTTTCACTCCCCTCTACAAGGTTCTGGTTGGATCTTCTCTTGTAACCTGCCCTGCTTGGGAAACACAGACACTGTCAAATGATAAACAATAGCACAGGAAGTTCTACCAAACTCTGAATTTGGAATGGGTTTAGGTGGACAAATCTTCTACTGGAAGCATTTGAAGGCAGCATGTAAGATTCATGCAAATGTTATGCAAATACACTGGTGGCCTTCCTACCTCCTGAGCATGTACAGTGGGAAAATTGAAAGGGGAGCCAAATGCATGATATTTGCAGTGGTCTTCTAAAGAACTGAGGGCGATCGATCGCTGATGAAACTTTGGGATCCTCACGTGGATGGGATATGGGACAGTGGTCTGTCAGGAATTAGGGACCACCAATACCAGATTCAGCTTTAACCAGGTGATGCTAAGGGCAGACGTGTGCCAGCTCGCGTGGCCCCACAGCCTTTGTAGAACAAGCAGAGTAGCTTAATTGCACAAAATCAGGGCAAGTGGATTTCCTGCTGGTGTTCTTTTTTTTTTTTAATTAATTAATTTTTTTGACAGGCAGAGTTAGAGAGAGAAAGGTCTTCCTTTGCCGTTGGTTCACCCTCCAATGGCCGCCGCGGCCGGCGCACTGTGGCTGGCGCACCACGCTGATCCGAAGGCAGGAGCCAGGTGCTTCTCCTGGTCTCCCATGGGGTGCAGGGCCCAAGGACTTGGGCCATCCTCCACTGCACTCCCTGGCCATAGCAGAGAGCTGGCCTAGAAGAGGGGCAACCGGGACAGAATCCGGCGCCCCGACCGGGACTAGAACCCAGTGTGCCAGCGCCGCAGGCGGAGGATTAGGCTAGTGAGCTGCGGCGCCGGCCTTCGCCTTGGTTCTTCTACATTGGCAGTTCCAGTGACAAGCTCAGATGAGTTCACTGTTCCACTGAGTCTTCCTACCTGAAAGACATGGACCAGCTGTCGATACTCAAAGACAGGTCTCTGTCACCTGGGGCAGTTACGCTGCTTCTTCCCGATGCTTGAGAGATTGTTCCTGGGGAGCAGTGGTTCTCAAAGCGGTGGTTCTCAGAATCTAAGATACAGGTTCCATCAGGCTCACCCACAGGAAATTTTCATTTATTGGATGAGGATGGTGTGGGGGTGAAGGTGAGGTTTGGGTTCTGCACTTGAAGGAAGCACCCGTATGTTCCTGGTCCCCATTATGGAAAGAACTGCTTGGGAGTGGTCAAAGCATTTCCATATGACTTTGAGGGTTAGAGGGCAGGATATGTATTTCCCATTTCTTAGATAGGAACATTAGCTTTCTTAATAATGGCTCAGAAATATTTAGTTAGCAATAGATGCTTGAAAATATTATCGAGCATTGTGAATCAGGCACTGTGCTAAGTGTTTTACTTGTACCATTTCACTTAGCACAAATCTTATGAGATAGGGACGAAAAATGAGGCTCAGGTGCCAGGGTCACACAGCAAGCACGTGGCTGATCTGGGACTCAACTTGGGTCTGATGACACCATAGATTTGCAGTCTCTACCAGGCACTACCCAAGCAGGCCCTCGGCAACAGAAGCTGTCTTGCATTTGCCTTTCTGAATTTCTAAGGAAATGCTCTTCCTATTGGGTGGGGGTGCTCTAGAATGAATCAGGCTGTCTTAAAAAAAAAAAAAAATTCCCAGTATCCCTGCCACTGAGATGATTACAACTGGACATTTGATCATCCAGGTTACTACTGTAGGGCTGGGCTCAGAAGAGACAATGCAGACAACATGCAGTGTCCTGGTGTGGGAGCGAGAGATCGGAATCTGGGAATGAGCCAGGGCTGCGGGGCCAGTGGGATGCAGATGCACTATGACAGGAAGTAGGAAGGAGCTGCAATCAAAGCAGGTGGAGGCACAGAGGTTCAGAGTGACAGGTACATTATCTGGGGCCAAGATAATCGTCTCTTGAGGCAGAAAAGTTAACTTGAGCAAGGAGCACCAGAACACCAAGTGACTGTTCTTCCGCACTGCATGGGTGGCTGGTCAGAGAGTTGGCCTGCTGACAAGGCCGTCGTGTGCCCGCAGAGCGACACCAGGGATAAGGACGGGGAAGGAAAACCAGGCAGAGGTGCTGCAAGGACCTCTGTGTTGGAGCCTGTGGAGACAGTCACTGCTGGAAGCCAGGAGAGCCTTTGTCCCCTTTCTGTATTTCCCTGTTTCTCAAGAACTTGGGCCAGACCCATAGGAAGTAGGGCCACAGCCTACGTTGCAGGAGAAAAGAAGTCAGATTGAGAAAGCTTTCTGTTTTTTGGCCAGGTAACCAGGGGATGAATGAAATAGTCTTTGTTGGGGTTCTTACAAATAGCAGAGATGGAAAGTGAGTGAAATACCCGGGGCCCCTACACTGCATGGGGTTGAAAGTGGCTTGTGGGGTCTTCGTGCACCTCTGACAGAGTTGGTGCTCCTAAGAATCTCTTGAACATCCGCTTCAGCATATTATGCTTCGACGACACACGGTTTCCTGTAAAGCTCTGTGTGCCCCAGGCTGTTCTATGCCTTCACCCGTTTGTTCATGCTGGCTTTTTTTTCCCCTTTCTCCCTTTTTCCTGGAACATTCTCTTCTCTTTTACCACGCCCTTCACCTGGCTAGTATCGGCCTGTTTTCTGAATCCAGCTTAAGGGCCATATCCTTGAGGAAAACTTTGTTTTTTCATCCAGTCTCTTCGTACTCACTGCCAACTGCTTATATCGAAACGGAGGGCTAGCTGTATAGCTCTCCCTGACCATAAATACCCCCAAGCAGGAGGATCATCAAAGGAACTCGAATGCCAGGTGCTCGGTTAGTCTTCGGGGAGCTCTGGGGAGCCAGAAAGTCACATCCAGTTGGCCAGACATTTAACCTCCCTGTTTCTCAGGTCCTTGCTTAGTCCCATCATCAGTGGTCTTGCTTTCCTTCCTACAGCCAATCTAAGGTGTAGCTGGGCTCCATTATCCCATGATCTTGAAACACAATAAAGGATCAGATTACTGGCACATTATAGAGTTTTTTTGAAAGATAGAATGCTGTCAGTTTTTAGAACATTCCTGTTGACGGGAAAGTTGAGAGTAGACTGAAGAAAGGAAGCGGGAAGTTAATTTCTTTCTTCTTCAACTCACTCGGCTATGCATCCACCCACCCATCCATCCAATGTTTTTCTGTCTGTCTTCCTTGCAAATATTATTGAATGTGTGGTGTTGAAAGCAAGCCCTGTAATCAGGCCTGTGCTTTAAATCCTGTCCTGCCAGTCACCCGCTTGACTTAAATCTGTCAAGAATTTAAGTTTATCACCTGAAAATAAGACTAGTAATATCCATTAAAACTTGATAGAATGGTTGGGGACGTGAAATGAAATAATGTTTAATAAATGCTTGGCACTGTGCCAGAAGCTCATAAGCACTCAAGAACTGTTAGCTATTTTTTTTTTTAAAGATTCATTTATTTTATTTGAAAGGCAGAGTTACAGAGAGGCAGAGAGAGGGAGAGAGACAGAGACACAGAGAGAGAGGTCTTCTATCCACTGGTCCACTCCCCAGGTGGCTGCAATGGCCAGAGCTGCATCGATCTGAAGTCAGGAGCCAGGAGCTTCTTCTGGGTCTCAGATGCAGGTGGCCCAAGGAATTGGGCCATCTTCTACTGCCTTCCCTGGCAATAGCAGAGAGCTGCATTGGAAGTAAAGCAGTT